GCCGATAGTTCAAACTTTCAGCAAGAAATGTGTTTGCACAGATTTGGGCACGGTTGGACAGAAATCATCGAGTTGCATCGAAGAACACAGTCGCATATATTAAGAAGTCATTTTCTGGTTAAAAATGTAAAAGTATCCATATGCTGACAATACGCAAAAATCCGCGAAATTTTCAAAAACAAGTAAACTTTTCATATTTACTGTTTTCCGAAAATTCTGAAACTACTAGTTCCTTAGCGTTCTCGAATGTAAACTTGTTTGTTTTTAGAAGAAACGCGTTTCTCTTTACAATGAATGCCTCTGAATCAGTTCGCCCACCTCGAGATATGCAATTCAGACTGCAAGAATACGTCTCTTTTTGAAATGCTCAAACCCGTTCTCACAGCCATAGAACGCTATCGCTATTGAACAAATTCCCCAACAATGGGTTCTCATGAATTAGGAACGGCTCCATATTGAATTTTTCGTATCTGCAATGAATGCCTCTGAATCAGGTCGCGCGCGTTCTTTTCTTCCGAGAACGCGTTTTTGTCAGATGAAACGGGCTGCACAGCTAAAAGGGTAACGCACGGTCATCTCCGTGCGAGTTTCGTTGGTCCCTGTTCCGCAGTCATTTTTCATTTCTCTTATTATTATTAGTTCTCATTTGTTATTATTAGTAAGATTTATTAGTAAGTAGTATAATTGCGTATATAATTGCTGCATGTAACGGCCTACGTTTTCGTTGCCTAAACTTTTTTGTAAACTGTTCTTCATGCCTAGAGAAATGAGTACCATGGTACAGTCTTTATGCGAATTTGTTTTGTCTCTGTTTTGTAGTCTTTTCTCACCTCCTCCGTTACTCCACGGAAGCAAACTCAAACAAACAGTGAATTACCTTCTCAAACTAGTTAGTCAAAGTGTTCCACGGAATTCTGCCGTGTCAAACAAACACATACAAAACAACTTACTCTGTGTTGAAGGTAAACTCCTTGACGAGGTTGTCGACGAGGCCGCCGTTTCTGAAATGTTAAAAGGGTGTTACAGTGGAGTCCGTACCACGGTATTTACAAGTTTAGGACCATAAACGAATTAGACATTAACAAAGTAAAACGAAAGAATCAAAAGTCATTTGCTGGTTAAAAATGTAAAAGTACGCATATTCTGAAAATACGCAAAAATCCGCGAAATTTTCAAAAACAAGCAAACTTTTCATATTTACTGTTTTCCTAAAATTTTCTAACTACTTGTTCGTTAGCGTTCTTATCAATTAGGAACGGCTCCAATGAAAACCCGTTTGTTGTTAGAAGAAACGCGTTTGTCTTTACAATGATTGCCGCTGAATAAGTTCGCCCGCATTCTTTTGCTCTCAGAACGCGTTTTTGTCAGATGAAACGGGCTCCACAGCTAAAACGGTAACGCTGTTTATGTTTCACCTCTCGCTTTCTTGGTCGGAACCTCATATAAAAGAAACAATGACACAATATTATCAATATAATAGAGCATGATTTCTGAGTCCTTTAATAAATATATCCTTCATTTCAGCACTCTTGGTATATATACTTGGGTATATAATTGTTACATTTAATGGGCTACATTTTCGTTCGCTAAACTTTTCTGTAAACTTTTATTCATGCCTAGAGAAATGAGTACCATGGTACCGTCTTCATGGGAATTTGTTTTGTCTCTGTTTTGTAGTCTTTTCTTCACAAACACATACAAAACAACTTACTCTGTGTTGAAGGTACACTGCTCGACGAGGTTGTCGGCGAGGCGGCCGTTTCTGAAATGTTAAAAGGGTGTCACAGTGGAGTCGGTACAACGGTATACACAAGTTTGTTCGCATAAGCTCGAACCCGTTTTAAACGAAGGACCCCTGAGTAAGGATCATAAACGAGTAGCAAACCTTGAACTGTTTTACAGCACGTATAGTACAAAGTTAGGACTTTCTTATGGTATCGTCGAAATGACGTCAAAATGTTTTGGACATTTTGAGCAGAATTTCAAAAAACCCGATTACGGCCCTTTTTGCGACAGGTAGATTTACAGGACCCGAAAATGCCAAATCACTGTCCAATAGTGCATTTGACTCGCCTTTGCATTATCTATGATAAAACAAAAGGGTTTGTAGCTTTTAAACTGAAGTAGGAAAACTCAAGATACTGATGGGGAGTTTTGAGTTTTTGCATGTTTCATGCTCGTTTTCTTTTATAATCTCGAATTTTCGGAAATTTTATAATTTTCGAATTTTTGCCGAATTTCCACGGTGAAAAACTGGCGAGATTTTCATGCACAAGTGAAAATCAACTAAAAATTTCGAAATAGACATCAAACGGCTCAGTTTTTGATCCTAATTCTATTCCACACGTATACCCTTAAGGGTTGACAAGACATGTCGACTGCTGGATTCTTTCTCAACAACCTACCGAGTCGAAAGGCTGAAATTCGATGTAAAACTAAGACAACAAGATTCTCGTCTTCCAGAGAAGAATTTCGAGTACTTTGCTCAGCTCTCTGAAGAATCTAGATACACGTTTCTTTTACTGTATAGCTTCTTTTCAGCACTCTTGGTATATATAATTGGGTATATAATTGATATATGTAACGGGCTGCATTTTCGTTGACCAAACTTTTTTCTAAACTTTTATACAATTGTAGTCTTTTATGACCTCCTACATTACTCTACGGAAGCAAACTCAAACAAACAGTGAATTATCTTCTCAAGCTAGTTAATCAAAGTGTTCCACGGAATTTGTCCGTTACAAACAAACACATACAAAACAACTTACTCTGTGTTGAAGGTACACCGCTTGACGAGGTTGTCGGCGAGGCCGCCGTTTCTGAAATGTTAAAAGGGTGTTACGGTGAAGTGCGTACCACGGTATACACAGGTTTGTTCGCATAAGCTCGAACCGGTTTTAAACGAAGGACCCTTGAGTAAGGACCGTAAACGAATAGCGAACCCTGAACTTTTTTATGAATCATATAGTAAAAAGTTAGGACTTATTGTTAAAAAAGTAAAAGTTAGGACTTTCTTGTGGTATCGTCGAAAAGACCTCGGAATGTTTTCGACATTTTAAGCAGGATTTCCAAAAGCGCGATTAGGGCCTTTTTTGCGATAGGTAGATTTAGAGGAAAGCAAAATGGCAAATCACTTTGAAATGGTGCATTTGGCTTGCCTTTGCAGTATCTATGATAAAACAAAAGCTTTTGTCACAAGTGAAAAAGCTTTTTTCACAAGTGAAAATCAACTAAAAATTTCGTAATAGACATCAAACGACTCAGTTTCGACGTAAAATAAAAGTCGCCTTTCGACGTATCATATAGAATGCAGCAGTACTCCAAAGTTGGACGTATGCAGGTTTTATAAAGATGAAGACGAAGAGAATTAGAAGAATCGCGGAAGAACTTGTAAATAGATGGCTGAATAAATGAATGAATTGTTATCTGCTAAAACTATGTTTATATCTTGATTTAGTAGTGTTCGATCTGTCGCTAGCAGAGTTTGTCTTTCTTGTTCGGACGCAGTAAAGTGGTAGGGAATATGACATCTTGTTTCAATATCAGTTATGCACATTGCACAAATGTATGAAGTTGATCTCTCGGTAATAAGTAATCTGCAGTTTGATTTCAAGTTGTTGAATTTTAATGCTGTGATTGGTTTTTCAAGATGCACAGGATAGTTTCCGATGTAATATTTGCCAACACTTGGATTAATATCCGAATAAACTTTATCTGTGTTACCTGGGACCCACCGGCGTTGCCATAATCATAAAATATATTTTGTAGCTTAGCGTTAGGGCTTCTGAGTAGATATATTATCAGTGTTGGAGATTGCGTCTGTTTAGCAGCACAACGTGTGCCATCCTATCTGCCAACTCCTTGCTATTGATCCTTGATATCCCGGTATCCAGTTAATTTTAAATTTTAAATTTCGTTGAGCCAAATCAAACACATTTTCCTGAATCAAATGAACAAGATAATTCGAATTTCTGACTGACGTCATTGTTTTGATAACAGATTGATAGTCGCAAAATAATTCTGCTCTTGTATAATGATGATTTAAAAGAAAGTTTGTTGCAAGATAAACAGCATATAATTCAGCAAAATACAGTGTATGATTTAATTCGATGTACAATGCTGCAATAATTACGTAATTATCAGATGCTATTAATGCAATAACCGCTGGGGTTGAATAATCATCAGTGTAAATCGTCAAGTGAGAATCAGAGTGAGTTTCAATCATATTCAAAATCACATGGTGTTCATATTCAAATGCTTGTGTTATACTCAATATTGTATGATCAATTAATGGATATTGTTGTTGAACCTGTTGCTGCATCTCAAGGTTGTCCATAACTGTCTGAAGTGGAATATCTTCATCAACAGCCGATTGTAGATTTTGTTTTAAATGGTGTAAGGGAGATCTTTTTGGCATGTCCTTGTCATTTTAAAATTGAAATAATGGATTAAAAGACTCGTGTTTTGATCGACATAGCTTTTTTAATTCCCTTATACAATAGATACAAATCAAATGGTAATAAACCACATTCCACTTGTAATGCGGCTAATGGATATGTTAAATCATTATTTAAACCTAAAACGAGAAATTGTTTTTGCAAGTTGACTAAATTTCTCAACTTTGACGTTGCCACATTTGACCAAACAGATGAGCCATAATTTTGGTAGCACAATACTTTTATACAATTTAGTAATATCTCTAACTGGTAACTTCGTTTTTTCTCGAATAAACCTTTTAAATTTTCTCATTATAATTTTTCCGAAAACTAAT